AAAGTTCTGCCTTCACATAACCAAATGATAAATAAACTGATGAATCTGTACTGGCTGCTTCTTCAAAGGAAAAAAAACCAAACCCCAAATTGAAACCCTAAAAAGGCAGAATACAGTATTTAACCACAGCTCAGTCAACCTGCTGCAGACCCACGAACAGCTTTTCACAGCACCCACCCCTTACACTGGAGAGTGCAGGGTGTCATTAGGATCCTAGGCACTGAGATGAACAGCATCTCAGGAAGCATCTCCACTCGTGTTGATTCATTTAAGGCAGTTTCTTTATCAATGATATTGAGGAGCACAGGACACTGAGAAAATGGCATTGAGGGTGGCTGGATTTACATGGCAGATTTCTTCTCCTGCAGCTGCCGGATGAGTGCAACACAGTGTCTGAAGCACGAGTGGTTGAACAATCTACCTGCCAAAGCCAAGAAGTCCAAGCTTCGCCTGAAGTCCCAGTTGTTGCTGCAGAGTTACATGGCTCACAGAAAATGGAAGGTAAATAGACAAAGTCTGGCAAATCTACTTCCAGAGGGAAAATCAGCTTAACACAGGCAGAGCCATTCCCTCCTTTTTTGTATGTTGCCTCACTTTTGCCCACAGCTGCCTTTCTTGTAAATATTGAGTTTGGTAACTCCATTTCCAGTTGTAAACTGGGTTTTTTTTTCTCCTTCAGAATGATATTGCTCCTATTTCTAGCGAGTTTGGTTTCAATTTTTACTCCTCCTGATTGGTGTTTAGAAGTTGTACATTTTTTTTCTTTACAAGATCAGAGACTTCAGATGCTACTTAGCGTATATTAAATGTTCTTTCTGTTCATACTGGAGAGCTTTTTTACCATTGACAACAGTTGCATTGTTCTGTTGCCACTATGGTGTAGAGATACAACATAAGGCAGTTTTCGGCCTCCCACTGCAGAGAGTAGAAGTGTGGGAGAAAGAAAAAATTGCGCTAAAAACCATCCAGAGAACTCTTCTGGACCTTTCTGATCACCCTATGCTCCTTCAGAACAAAATTTTATATGAAGAAGTGATAGAGAATTTCTACTGGAGTCTCTATTGGACTGTAGAGAATTGATCCTTAAAGGTAAACACAGTGATCTTCGTACAAATAAGCCTGTGGAAATCTGAGGAAAACTCAGTGAGGACCATTTCCTTTTCTTTTGTCACTGGAGAGTTGTAATTGCTTGCCAAGGAGTTAAACCAGAGGCTTACACTTTTTCTGCTCCTGGACTCCAACTGTTTGGTTGCAGACTTCTGCACTTGAATTTTAAAAAATACATTATCTAAAGACATATCACTATACAATTCGTAGTACTGCTGCAGAAGTTCACAGTACCAGCAGTCTGTTCTGCAGTAATCAGTAACTCCCCAGCACAAAGCTGTTCCGCACTGCAACACACACAAGGTGTGGGTCACCAGAAGTAAATGGATTTACTAAGAAGAAAAATCCATGTCAGCCATAGAAAAAGTCCTTTACCTCAGTTGCACTCACACTTGGGACTGTTCTGTTTTGTTCACAGAAACATTTTTACGTGGTGGCTGCTGCTAACAGGCTGAAGAGATTTCAGAGTATGTCTGTCAAGCTTGCATAAGCCTGTATGAAGCATTACCACTCTTGGAGATGAACATGAAACCATAGGAGAAGGACTCAGTATCTTCAGTGATTTCTACCCCTTTGTTTTATAACATAAGGTTTTGGGTCTGTCCTCCTCAAATATTATGCGTGTTAGTACTAAGGTTCCAGAATTGCCTCAAAGGAAGAAGCACTGAAATAATTTCGAAAAGCGGAAGCTACTTCGTTTGTTTTTACAAGTTTTTAGTTGTTGTACATAGTGATGGCAAATATGGCTGTTCTTGGGGCTGACTTCTTGCTGAAGGCTTTGATTCTGCAGAGTATTGTTGATGTGTTTACACCATAAAACACCTTGTCAGTTTTCTGGTTTCTCACACCAAGCATGGTATTTCTGACTTTCTTCATGACTGATGTAAGACATCAGGTGGCACAATTTTTCCCTTTGGTATTTGTTACTTAGAACAAAAGATGTCGAATATCCTTTTCTTCCGTGTTTTTTTTTCAGAAAGATTATTCCCCCCTGCCCCCTAAACCAAGATGATTCAGTGCAGCTACTCAAGAGTTGAATGGTTTTGGTTTGCTGGGTTTTTTTCCATTCTACTCTCTCCTTTAAAAAATAGTCACCGCATAGTTAGGAAATATGAGGAATCCTGGTTTGAAGCAACTTCAGTCAGTCAGTCGATTGCTTTTTCTTATAGTGAGTTGAGATGAATTGATTGAACTTTTGGAAGGAGACAGGTGAAACTGCCACATGTAAAAATTGCCTAATGACTGTTGGGTCTATGCAAAAAGATCTTATGTTGTCCAAAAAAGAAGAGATTTCCGGACATTGTTTTATATTTATTTAAAACTTGTAAGTGCTTCTCATTGGCTGTGACTTCAGCCCTTGATTTTCTAAGTTTTAGTTTGAGGCTTTTTTTCTCTTCTCTGACAATTTTAATGAAGTCTGAAAAGTCGATATGGTGTGATATGGAAAATAGGTTTTATTGCTGTTCGGTGGCAGGGGAACGGTGTGTTGCCAGACTCTGCCTTTAGCCCAGTTAGGAGGTTGAAGCCCTTTTTCTGTCTCCCCACCTTGCTCTTGAACAGTAAACATTTTCTTCACAATACTAACTTATTTTGGATTTTGAACTTTTTTGTGATGTATAAAGCGTTGGATCCACTTACAATCTCTCAGCTAAAAGTGTAACATTATTTATTAAAGCTGTGGTTTCCTTTATTTCTGTCCTAGATTCTGCAAAGCTCAGTGTGAGCTGGATAGGCTCTTAGGAAAAACAGAAACTAATACTACTAAAACTAGCTTTCTAGCAAAGGCATCAAAACACTGTAAAGCTCCCTTTAACTTCATGGACTTTCATGTCCCTTGAATTAGCAAAGGTGTTGGTTGCTAATAAAGAGGTTTGTAAGACTGGCTTACCCTAGTCTTGTTATCTTTTCCACTCTAGTGCTTCTCACTTTGCGTAGTCCTGAATTCTGGACTCTGCAGCATTTCCAGAATTGAGACAGAGGAGAATGATTAAAATCAAGTGAAATAATCTTGACAATGTATCACCTTCTGTGAAGGCCCACTTTTGTTCATGTTTTCCTTCCACAGTGGTTCTGCATGCTAAATGTGATTGTGTTAATTGGTCTGTATATTTCTGATTTAATACTAATAAATTGCATTGAAGTGGAGCAAGCCTATTCCTCAATTTTGGTTGAACCCCCTTGACAAACAAACCCGAAAGCATCTTTGAGTATGTCTTAACAACAGAATGCTCATGTACTAGGTCAGATTCTCTCCCATCGTGAGGATTTCTGCTACATATTAGATCAGACTTTAAATGGCCGACATTTTGTTACAGCTCTTACTCAATGTTGATTAATTATTCAATATTTTCTCTGCACATCAGGCATTTGTTTGGAGTACATTCCCCAATAGTTATTGTTGTATTTCATTCCAGATGAGACTTACGAAATTAGTTCTTGCTAATGAAAGCTGGGCTTCGAGTGATTCCTTTTTTTTATGCATTGAGAGAAGTGGTGAAAGGAAAATGGCCAGTAAGTTTTAATTTTCCAATTACTGTACGCTTTTTCCTCTGTTTCTATAAGAGGGTAACACATGGATGCTCTCTGCTGTCTTGTACATATTTCCTCTCCATTTTTAGAAAGAAAAGGTGTGTCTGGCCAGCAGGATTACCACTTTGTTTCTAATAGAAAGAAATCCCTTTAGGTTCTGCAGTACAGTGGAACCCACCTCTGCAGCCTTACAGGAGGTTTCACCATGTCCTGTGCATTTTGCTTTGGGGTCTACAAAAAGCTAAAAGGACGAACCACAGGTGACCTGTGAGTGACCGAACAGTAAGTATGACAAAAAGAATTGGCCCCATACACTGATATCTGAAGCAGTTAATGATACCAACTATTGTATCCAGGCAGTATGCACAGCAGCGAGCCATTACTGTTGAGAAGAAGCTCAGGTGGGGGCAGCATTTCAAATCTAAATGCTCAGACATGAGATAATTTACCTTGCTTCATAGGGACACTTGGGGTTTTCTGGGATCTTTTGAAATGAGGGTTTATGAAAGTTAACTTCTCTTTGCACATCCCAGGCAGAAAACATGCAACAGAAATAGGCCGAAAACTTGGATTGGTTTTATTGTGGTTACATCAGCCCTGTATTGACAGAAGTTATGATTTTCCTTCAAAAAGTAGCTAACACAAATTGTAATGTGAATAGCTGGCATGAAAGGGTAGGACTGCAGAAGCTGCTGCTAAGAACTACAGGGCAGGGCACTTCCCCCTCTTCCCCAAGGTTATGACTGCGAGATGCAAAAAACCTGTATTACTCAGACGAGATCCTCGTCCCCTGGATATCTTCCTCCTTAAAGCACAGACATCTCCTGTATGTCTTTTATTTTGCATTCTATGGGTTTTATATGAGTGCCAAGAACCTGATGTCATAATACAAAGCTTTTCCTTCCAGTATTTTTATTGTTTCTCAGAATATTTGGGACCTAATACAAGCACAAGTGACTTCAGTCCCATAGAGGTCATAAAAATAAGTCAAATTCAGTGACAAAACAGTATTTCTTCAACAGTAAAAGAATAAAAAATATCAGTCAATTCCTCTACTGGTTTTTCAGTTTAACAAGGCATCGTTAGTCCCCTCCCTCTTTTTTCACAGACTGCTTCCAGCCAGGGGCCCAAGGCATATAACTTTTAATTTATTTACACTTAACACAGCATTAGAACGATGCCAGCTTCTTGCAGCAAGAGAATGAAGCTATTCTACCACCTAATGCCATAGCTGCTCAGGTACCAGCTTGGCAAGTTGTTAGACAGGCTTCTTGTAAAAATCATCCCAATTCTGGTGTCACTTACTAAAAATAATATTCTTAAATACTTAAAAACTAGCTAATAAATAAAATCAGCTGCCTACCAGGCAGCCATCACTCACATGCTACTGGAACTCTTGTCAGAGCAGAGGGGGAGTTAAAATTACGAGCAAGCAGCAGTTACATTACTAGGTGGCACTACAGAGGCAGTATTCCTACTTGTCTCTTGTGCCTTAGCAGCGTTTTCCAGGATTTTCTTTTTCCATTCTTCGTAGTCTTGCTTTGTTTCGGTCTTTGGTCGTTTACATGGCATCTCCTCACCTTCAGATCCTATAAGAGAAGGAGAAAGTCCACGATGGGCCATCATGGGCAGTGTGTTACTGGGAATAACCATGGCAGTGAGCAAATGTACAGACACAAGCACAGGGCCGGTCACTGTTATATAATCCTGTGGTTTGCTGTTCCCCTCACCTGCTGGAACAGTTACCTCTTCACTAGTGTGTCTATTTGGAACAGCTGTCCTTAATTCTACTAGTACTAAGTGTAAACACCAGTGTCCTTCGGCAAGGTTCTCCATCCTTTCATTAGCCAGTGGTTTGCAGAATGGAGTAAACTGCTGTGAACTGAGTATTATGGCATGTTACACAACTGAAATATTAAGCAGCAGTAAAGCTCAGAATTGCTCTGGTGAGGCAATTTTAGTTCATAGCTAAACTCAACTTACCATCTTCCTTCTCACAGCACTTCAGGTTGGTCTGTAAGCTTTCAGGCGTCTCTGCAGCCAGTGGAACATCTTCTTCTAAAAAAAATAACTAAGTTGCTTTACTTCTGAATGGTGTTTGGGGGCCCCAAAAGTGGTGTTCTACATGCAATTCTTTCACTTGCCACCTTCCAAAAGTACTGTCTCCCACTCAGAGCAGTTCCCTGGTCCAGACTGATGCTCAAGCTGTACACACAGAGGTGCCAGCACACTTCAAGGGTTTCATGGACTGGTTGGCTGCTTTAGCGCTGCTGCTGCGTTTGTAACCACAATGATCCACCATGTTCATACCCCAAAACCACACTGCTACCCTTCTTGATTACTCAGGCAGGATTATCAGTTATTTCTTCCCCTTCTATCCCATTTACACACTTTGTATTATAGAAGCCCACAACATGCAGGGGGCTGTCCATGTATACAGATGCATACTCTCCCCTGAACTGATACAGAAACTCCCAGCTGCATTTAGCTGCTTTAGTGGTAGGGTAAGGTTTTGTTTGGTTTTTTTTTACTAGGGCACTGCACTATGGGAAGGTCCATGCATAGGGAGAGAGCAGCAGCTTTTGATTTGGGTTTAGGCAGCACATTCCAGAAAACTTCATGATATGACACATGAAGATAGGGTGAAGCAGGGGCACTGTCAGTGGGAGAGTAAGAATGAAAGCCTGGGGAAGGAAAAAAGAGATAAGTAGCAAGGAGCAGAGATAGAAGGACAGGAAGGAGTGTATTGTATTTCAATCTTCCTCCTCCACAAAAAAAGAGTGGAGAGCACTGCAGGTTCAAAAACCAGTGAGAAACATTCCTCATGGCTGCCCACTGTATGTAGAGGGATGGTGTCAGGTAATGTCTGAATTCCTACCAGAAGAGCATGGCTTAGGCTTGTTAGTCCTGCAGTGTGGGAAAGAAAAACATAGAAATGAGTCAGTCAAAGCAAAAGCAAGATGTTTATGTTAGTTTGTGTGTCATATTGCCATATTAAAGGGATGCAGAAAGCAAGAAAGAAGGAGGAATCTAAGATAGGTCAGGTACTACGGGAGAAGCAGAGAATAAATTGCAGCAGCAGAGCATGTAAGGAGTAGTGAGCATTTGAGAAGAGAGGAAAATTTTTTTTTTTGGCCTGGCCACACATGCCAAGCTGTTGTGACTCCCCTAGAAGCAACGACTGTGACTGGGAACTGGGCTGCAAGAAACCTGTTGGAATGGATGGACAGGTTGGCTGAAAGGGGACAGCTGAAAGTGATCAGGATGAAATCACCAGTGGAAAAGGATGGGGCACTGGTTATGCTGCCTTACAGGGATAAAGCCAAAAACTTACTGCTGAGTTGGTGGCTCATCTTTTCCAGCTGATTGCACAGCCTGTCAAATATTGCTTTTTTGACCCCAGATGTAGCCAGCATTTTAGTTTTGTCCACTTTTAGCTTCAAACACCTACAAGAGAAAGTTATCTCTGTACAGAGCAACACTCCAGTATCACTCAGGCGAGATGACATTTACTGTAATAACACTGCCTGTGAGAATGAGGAGGGTAGGCCTGAGTGTAATCCTTGTCTCACTCAGAAACAAATTTGTTTAAAAAACAGACCCCTACACTACTCAGTCAATACAGCTCAGGAATTGAATCTCAGGGTTAGTTCAAGTTACATAAGGAAATTCTGTTATGAAAAGGTACTTTTCAGATTGAGGGAACCAAGACAAAATCCCACTACTGCAAAAAGCTGAACGGGACCCCTCTGTCAAGAGAACATTTATCAGGAGCTGTGCAAGTACACAGCACCTGAATTGCTTCTTAAGATTGTTACAAGGTGTAATACTGAGAGGGTACATATTTGTATCCAAACAAATTCTTAAAAGGGCTGGCTGAGTCAGGTGCTCCTGACATCTATCTTCCAAGCTGATAACAGGCCTACAGTTATTAGATGCATCTCCCAAAGGTTAGAGCACCCCCAGGATGTGATGCTTTAGGGCTTGGGGCTTTCCCTTCTTCAGAATGGCTGCTTCTTGGTGTTCAGAAGTAAGCTAGCAGCTGTTCTTGCACCTTGAGCAGTATCTCACCAAAAGCCATGCAACTTTCTGCTTTGTGCCCAGCTCAAATCTACCCTGACAATGGGAAAAAATTCCAACTACATCTGAAAAATATTACTATGTCATGCTGGTTAGGCTGAGAGGGAGGAGGCTGAAGTGCAAAACACTAACAGAAGTTTTTCAGCCATTGCCATGGGTATGTCCTAATGGAACTACGCACAGCATCAAATTACACACCAGGGTAGACAGGTTTCATTTATTTTAGGATAAGTAATTCAAGATCCTTTTCTGTAGATTTCATACAATACTTCTGCTTTCTCCAGAAGGCAAATGCAGTGTAGGTTGGAGACTTCACTGTAAGGAAAGGCCTGGTTTGCTACAGCTGTCTCCATTTCCAGGAGTAGGGCAGCAGAATGTGCTAAGCAAGACCCTTCAGACATACTGAATGAATTAGCTGCTTACGTTGTAAGCCCTATTTCTGTTTGGCGTCTCACTAGACATTTAAGCCCATAAAAGATCCCTTAAGCTATACTCACCTGCATGCAGTGAATAGTGCAGCTGTTATAAAAAGTGGTTTTGAGAAATCAAGGTCCATTTGCTGTGCTTCAGAGAGGCTGGATTCATACCTAAAGAGCAACAATAAGAGCGATAATTGTATAGTGCATTTGCCTCAAATTAAGCTGTTGAAATTAATTTGTCACATGGTACTCAGCAGTTGAACAGGTATCCTGTTGGATCACTTGGTCCCTTGCAACCCAGTCAAGCAGAAATAGTTGCTACTAGCTAAGAAGAGCAAAAGAGACTAGGGAAAAGGAGGGGACTGGGATAACTTCCTCTTTTTGAATTAAAAGGATTTTAAATTAGGGAACTGGATCAAGGTATGTCAGTGAAATCTCTCTCTTGTGCTCCCCATCCACACAGAAATCTTACTTCTACATTACATCTAAAAGTTACAATGATATCCTTTGCATAAATCCATCCTGTAGTGGAGGGTGGAATTATAGTTTCTTTGATTCCTCTAATATTTTTAGTTTGTATTAAGCACCGACAAGCATACACAGTCTTTGTTCACTGACCTAACAGCATTTAAACATGTGCTATCAGGGTGACGGCACTCCAGAGCAGAGCTCTTCAGTGATTGCTCTTGTTACAGTAGATGTTACAGGGTGCAAAGTTTTAGTTAAATCTGTTGACTGTCCACTGAAGTGTTCTACCTATTGCTTTTACAGGTAAAGTAGTATGCATTTTAAGAGATCTGCTTCTGCAGAAGGGAGGATTTGTTTCTACTGAGCATTACTTCTGAATCGTGACATGATCAGCAGTTAAATGGAAGACAGTGTGATGCTATGGACAAATACAGGGACTAGAAGTCATGTATTTTTTTACACTATTCCCAGATGAAGAACTGGGACTCAGACGATGACTTACTGACGTTCACAGACTAAGTCCTTCTGACATGTATTCTAAAAAGCAGCCTAGATAAATGGCTAAGAACTCACCTCACCACTCCAGTCAGTGTGACGTCCAACCATCAAGCTCTTTACAATCCAAAAGAAAAAGAATCTTACTAGTGGTTACCAGCATGCTCATGAGAGCTTCCTCACCTCTGTAGTATTTTTGAAGCGGTGTTCACTGCCTCTGTGCAGCAGAATTGCACAGCCAAGTCTCGCATTCCCAGTCTGGGGTTCACTTCTAGCAAATATTCCAAAGACTTCATCGAGCTCTGGTATGTAGTCTTGTTCAAACCAGAGAGTTTAACAAAATAGCTCTTTCAAGAAGACAAACACAAACCCCAAGAATTAGCAGAATTCCTCCTGACATCTTATTCAGGCAACCAAAATAGATTAGAGAGAAACTACACAGTATGATAAAATAAAATTCAATTTCTATATTAAACAAATTTGTGCAATGAATGATTTAAGTTTCGACTGCACGCAGAAAGATTAACCACCTAGGAATGCCACATCTTTTAATGGAGTGTTATTTTTAGACCATTTCACTGGAAGTGAGGTTTGTCTTCTCCATATAATATGACACGGGCCCTTTCATTACAAAGTGTTTAAAAGCAAAGGTAACCAAGACCTGCGCAACTTGAAGAGATGAGCAATATTTTCATGCTACTCCTCATGGGGTAAGGTCCAGTTAAATTCTACTTTGTCTGTGAACGGACAATCACAAACATCTTGTAAAAGACATTATTTTGGCAGCTCAGTGCCATTTATCTGGCAGGTCTGCAGATGGGGGTTTACAGGTACCACGGTAGAGAGGCATTCCTTGGAGCCCCTGCTTCCCTCCCATAGTAAAAGGGACAGATCTTAAATTCAATATCCTTGCTGGTAGTTTATTTGTTACTAAAAGAGCTGAAATTACAGCAAAGCAAGCTCAGCTTGTGAAGTGACTACGACACTGATCTCCGTTGGCCCCATTTCAAACTCTGAGTAGTGAAAGCTCTAACACTGTGTCTAGTGGCACACTACTGGGTGTAGGGTAACGTCTGTTACTCCTATCCCTTTCCTGATTTCAACATACACTACACAAAACAATTATTTTAGTGGACTTATGAAGAATGCACCAGCCAGCCAAATCATATACTCTATCTTACTTTGTCAACTGGTTGTTTCATGAAACCAGCTGCTAGGTCCAGGCACATCACAGCACTGCCTGTCGCTGTCATTTGAGCCATTAATCCCGTGCATTTCACCTGGGATAGCCGCAGATACTCTTCAGCTTTTCTGCAAAACACCCGGCATGCAAAGCCCTCGTTAACAAAACCACGGTGACAAGAGACAAGAATGGCAGGACAGGAACTGATCCAAGGTTTACCTAGTCCAGCACCCCGGCTGCAGCAGTGGCCGCAGCACGTGCTTAGGGAAAGGGGTGCTAAACGCAGGACAATACTGCCCTTTCTCTAACAATGCGCAGCAGAGGCTTTGCACTTCATAGCCTGCAATGGCCGTTTCATTAACCGCGTATACCTTCAGGTCTGACTTTTTTCACATCGACCGGAGCCCAAGAAGGAAGCGGACGGACGGCAGGCCGGCAGCGCCAG